AAAGAAAGTAGTGTATTAGCAGACATAGGCAAAGTGCGCAGGTTGTTAGGATTGCGCTGCCTACAGTGTGTGATGCAAGGTGTGCGAGTGGTAGTAATAGTAGGGATATGGAAACACATAGTAAGAGTTAGTCATAAAAACTGAAACAGAAGTGAAGCAAGGTGTAGAAAAGAGGACGAATCAAAAGCGATACTTATGTCCCTTGTCTGTGCACTGTGGAGTCGCACGGTAGAGTCGATGGCCTTTACACTCTTCACATGACCGCTGCTGCGGTATACTAACCTTTTTTATACCCGTTTGACAAAACGGAAATTGAATTCAGCTGAACACACTTTACTGTTAATCACAACAAAGGGCTAAGCAAGCGCAATACACTGACAAGGTATGCGATAGAGGACGAGACCAAACGCAACTTCAGCACGTCTCAACACAGTAAACAAAACAAGCGTTTCCTAACAACGACAACTGCGCTAAACACTAATGAGACAAGAAATAAATACACTTTAAAAAACTAAATAACAAAAAACAAAAAATAATAAAATAATATTAAAAAAAAGACTAAATACATTTAAAAACTATTTTGACTTTTCCAAAAATTAAAGTGAAAAATGAAAAAAATAAAAATAAAAAAGCTAATTCAAGTTGGCGCTGATAGCCTCGTTAACATCAACAATGAAAAATGCTTCTAAAGCATTTATTAATGTTAGTAAATATTAATTTTAGCATTTAATACATTATTAAAACCAAAAGATAAACGTGAGCTGACATCTGCTGTTATTAACTAACATTAACAAAGATTAATAAATACTGTAACAAATGTATTGCTCATTGTTAGTTAATGCTTTAACTAACGCTCATCAAATCTGCATGTATAATGATTATAAAAGAGTGAGTAAAATGCAGTTTAAAATCAATGGAGTTTAGTGTGTCACAAAGCAAAGCACATACAATTCTTTAAAAAAATTACAAAAATTAGCATGAAAACTGAAAATACACAAATAAAAGCTAATGCAAAAAATTTATAAAAACTATAATAGTACATAATACTAAAATATCACTCTGGATGATGCTTCCCCTTCTCTATCTGCTACAACTCTTTCATTTAGATTGTAAAGAAATTCATGTGTAAGGATAATTTAGATTAGCCTACAAAACGGATTTTCAACAGAAGCCTTGAAATCAAGAGGTTTCACACAAACTCGTGCGCAAGAGTGTTTTTGAGCTCCTGCCACTCACCCTCGGTGGCGGCGATAGTGAAGCCGTCTCCACAAGAAACCTTGGTGACGAACTTTCCTCCGAAGGGCCCCACGAGGATCTGAACACCCTGGTGCTTCTTGAAGTCCTTCACTCCCAGCTGCCCAAAATTATTACAGCCGAAGGTCATCAGACGGCCACGCTCTGCACAATCATTCACACAACATGAGCCTCAATCGTCAGAACATTAGCAGTAAAAGCTGCGGCGTGAGGCGAGATTAAACGCACCGTCTATAGCGGCGGTGTGCGTCTTTCCCGGAGCGATGAACTGGATCTTGAAGCGCGAGAGCTGCTTGACCAGCGTGAGGGTGGTGGTGTATGGGATCCCCTGATAACCCTGCACAACATCAGTCAGTGTAATGACAGTACGGCTGTCCATTTAACACAGTGATAGGACCCTAAAGTTTAAGATACGAGGGCGAAAATGCCCCTCTTATATTTATATATGATATAGTAATATAACACCAGCAAGAGTGCTATTTTCCCCAATATCTGCACAAATGCAAATGTGATTGATTTGTACAACAGTTCAATAAACATGAAGTTAATATTGCATACATTTAAAGGGGTCATATGTATCTCCTCAAAGAGAAAGGAAAAAATGAAATCGCATCATATGACCCCTTTAAGACGCGGTATTGTCAATATTAGGGCTGGGGAAATAAATCGATGCATCGCGAATCGAGAAATTATTCTGCATCGATTCTGAGATTTTCCGAATGCATCACGATTCTTTCTCGAGTTGATTCTGAGCGTAGTTTTGAACAGCAGATGTCGCTGCATGCTTTAGAAACCGCCGTACTCTGCTTGTTTCCAAATCCTAGAATCAATTCCAGAGAGAATCGCGATGCATTCGGAAGATCTCAGAATCCATCCACGAATCGATTCTGCATCGATTTATCGTCGCAGACCCTAGTCAATATTGTCTGTTTTACTTAATTTCGCAAATGAAAATTGTTCTAATCAAAGCCACAGCAGAATTATTGAGTGTCTCTGATCAACACAGCGTTGATTCGTTACTGAATGAATCCATGGTTTTGAACAAATCGAGTGAGTCAATGATTCAGTAACTTATTCAGAAAGACAGCCACTCTGAATGAATCAGCCGTTTGAGTGAATTGGTTGAGTGAATGATTCAATGACTCACTCAATAAGACAGCGACTTGCTGCCACCTACTAGCATTTTTAAGTTTCATTTTGAGAGTGCCGATTCAATTTTTTAAAAATCATTTCATATTTCAATATTAATAATAATAAAAAAAATACCAATTTGATGGGTGAATCAAAATATTTCATTATAAAAAGCTACTTTTCTGTAATGTCTATTCACTGTTTTTCTCATCTCACACAATGACTTTAAAACATCTT